AGGGGTGACGAAATTGAAGCTAAAACCGTGTAATCAGATGGAGATTTGGATTCTCCAAGTAAAAAAAGGAAAACTGCAGGTGCAGGCCATCGTGGCGAAACGAAAATCGATTATACAGAACACATTCGTGGGGTGGGGCTGGAGAAAGGCCCCAAAATAATCCAGTCACAAGGCTTAACAGCAACCAGACGCAACCTGTTGACTCTCATGCTGGAAAGTATAATGTATTCATATAATTCCAATGCGAAGACTAATAACTGAAAACAAGCAGGTAGGTGCCTCTAGGAGTATTGGTTTGAAAATATTTTTCTACGTGGTTCTAAGTCGTTATAAAACAACTTTTTTATCAAAAAATTAAATTCTTAAATATTTCTTATCCTTATAACTTTTTTAACTATAACATACCGTTTTAATTTAGCAGAATATTTTTCAGAGTATTTCGATACACAAAAATTGAATTTAGGATGAGTAGTTTATGGATTATAAATATTTAAAGTTTAAACTAAACGAGTGGAGTAGTAGCCCTACATTTTGCGTTGTAAACTGGTAATTGAGTATCACTATAGGTACACTAAGTCCATCTAAATAATTTAAATACTTATAACTCGTACACAACATGTCCTAAATTCGATTCTTATGTATCAAAATACATGCATCAAAAAATGAAAACAAGTAGGTATAGATGGCTATAATAGCTCGTACAGGATCCGACGAAAAAGACAAAACGATAATCGCCTCCAAGTATAGTATTCATTGTTGTAACTATACCATAGCAGTGGCGATTTTGGGGGTGAGGCAAATGAGACTCCAATACACTTGTAATTTTCAGGCAAATAAAAAATATCTGTTCACTTTATATTGGTAAGTATATATGGTACTATATTGAATTTTAATCGTGTACTTTCAATTTATATATATATATTTATATCTTTAGACATTAAATGTTTTAGAGTTTAAGTTCAATAGACAAAAGTTTTAAGCATTAATTTTTGTTTGTGCAGAACTTGCACGAACGCGGGAATGGCTGTGCGTCGCTCTTACGTAGGTAACTTATAAACTATTATAGCCTTTTCCATTTAATATTGCAACCAGCGCCGCCACCACTAGAGCGCTAGATCACCATAGTTTACATAATTTATGTATTGGACATAATATTATAAGTTGTTAGTGGTCAAAGGTTTAAGGTACCTACTGTGTTTTTAACAGACTCCAAAACGAATAAAGTTATTTTGTATATTATAGGTCAAATGAGTTTGTAACTATTTAATAAAAAAATAAGTATCTAATGAGTATAATGAAAATACTCAACAAATCAGTTTCAGTTGACATGTATAGATTGTACCATTGTAGCCCGTGGCACCGTATAGGAGCTATTTATATGTAAAAACAATATCTAGGTGCAATATTTAGAACATTTTTAATTTTTGTATCGGTAGGTACTTAACATCAATAACTATCAATAATAGAGCAGATTTGACAGTTATTTGTGAATGCATATAGGTATAGGTGAGTTATTGACTTACATTTTGCACTTTGGTCGGATTTTGTTTGTTGTAAGTTTGAAAAACTCATCAACATCGCAATGGTAATAATGAAACTTTTAATGTAGGTATATTCATTTAAGACAATACTGCAGTTGGATGTATAGTTGTTGTTATATTGAAATAGGTACCTAATTAATTTTGGCTAGGTAGATATATCTGCAGCAGCAAAAGGCAATTCTACAAAGGTAAAAGCGGTCGTGTATTCGAAACAAAAACAGGCAAAGATTGTAATCTGTACCGAAATTCAGAAATTCAAACATGATTAATATTCTATAGGTAAGTTTATAATGTAATTTTATACACCTATTGGGTGAATTATGTATTATTATTACATATATATATATATCATCTAATCACTATTATATTGTTATAACTTTATAAGATATTATACACACAACACTATATATAACCACGAATTCATATTATTAAAGATTGTCTTTTATTTATATTGAAGAATAGTTGAGGTCCTAAGCTTCTATAAAGACTTCTTATACGCACCAATGAAAAACAAGTCATTCGTAAAACACGTACTGTGTGTTTTTTTGTACTCATATATTCGTTGATAGTTTTAAAGGATAAACTATACTGTGGACGTAAACTCGTACGAAATCGTTTCAAACGTAGGTAAATATTATATTATGGTTTTAGGTTTAGCCTCTGAAAAAAATCGTCTTTTCAGTTTTCACAATTCCACCGCATTTAGAAGAAAGAAAATGTTAAGTTTATATGGAAACATTATCATAACAGCATACACATTTAATAAACGAACAATTAATGATCGATTGTTTGTGTTGTAGGCTTGTAGCCACTTGTAGGTAAAATTTTAAATTTGAATGTCATACCTACATCGAATTAGTTGCAATTTGATTTATATAATATATTGATATTCTGAGTGATTCATTGAACGCAGGGCACTCATGATTCAAAAAGTATTGTTTTTGAAAATATTTTTCTGTATGATCCTAAGTCGGTACTCGTTATACAACAACGTATTTATTAAAAAATTATATTTTTAAATATTTTTTTATCCGTATAATTTTTTTAACTTTTAAACTTTTTTGAATTAAACACACCTTTTTAATTTCGCAGAATATTTTGCCGAGTATTTCGATGGTTAAAAATCGAATTTGGGTTGAGTAGTTTATATGACTTATAGATATTTAACTACACTATAAGCTCATCTAAATAATTTTAAATACCAACAACTCATAAACCACATGTCTCCTAAATTCGATTTTTATGTATCGAAATACTTTCAAAAATATTCTGCTCTATGGAATATGAAATTAAAACTATGTATTATGTCGTTTAAAATAGTAAAAACCTCAAAAAATGTTAAGGATAAAAAATATTGAAAAAAAAAAAATATTTTTTTAACTAATGTTTTTTAATGACTAGAAATCATTTCAGAAAAAAATCATCCACTAACATTTTTAATTTTTGAAATAAGGAGTGTCCAACGATAAAAGAATCACCCGGTATGATATATACCCGATATCGCATTATTGTTGTCGTATCGTCTTCGGCGGAGGTAATTTGTTAACGAGTTGAATAGAGTATAATTCATTCGAGGCAATATTTTATTCACTGTGTATAGGTAACATTAGTGTAAGCCATTCATTTGACTATTCAAATGTTCCTGGAATTACAATTTCATAAAGCGGTGTTATAGTGAATTCATAATTGCTGTTTATACGGCATTATGACGTTGTACCAGGGTGGTTTTCTATTTCTCTGGGTGTACCTATCCTGTATATTGTACCTATACATAGTTGTTTTAGGATCCGCATCCGAATTCAATTACAATTGTAAATCAACATTTTTCTTAGCTGCAGGCGTTTATATGTTTACCATGAGAATATTTTAGAGACACATACATATATTATACATAAATACTGTTTGATGAAGGTGTACGTATATATAATTGCAAAATATATTTAAGTAATACCGACGACATTCTACATTCCCGGGGGGGGGGGGGGATCTAGAGAGTCCGAGCTACCCCAATTTATTGATGGTCTTGGTGGTATAATAATGATGTGATTTATTTTTATTTATTTTTTTGGAGAAAATCCTTTATGGAGCTGTAAAAATGCCCTAAAAGTTTCATGTTTTTCCTGTCCAATAGTATCCATATATATATATATGTATACTCACATACATTGGAAATAGAAAACAGATTGTACGTAAAACAGGCTTTTTTTATTTTACCAGTAGTTTTAAACCCCAGACCACAGTTGAAAAACTGCAGAACAAAAAATGTTAAATTTACTGCACATTCGTTTTGAACAAAATCGATTACTTTGTAACTTAGCAAATGATTCTCGAGAGACAGACATTTTTACTACTATTTATTTTGGTTTTTTATAGTATAATGTTTTTAAGTGTCGGTTTACCTGTCCATGTAAGCATACAGTTTTAGAAATATGTAGGTATAGTTTTTTTTAGAAAAATGTGAATGTAATTGAACATCATGGCCGATTTTCTTTATTAAAACGTGTTTGACATGCGTAGAATAATTAGACAAAGCATTTATACTTTCTCCTGCCCACATAATTTCAAATTTGTTTCACAATACATATAAACTAAGTTGACTGGTCAAATTATGTCAAACAATGTAAATAATGGACAAATTGAAATCGTTTATAATTCAAAATGTAATCTACTCATTGAAATTGTAATAATACGAATATATGTAATCAAATAAAAAATTAAAATATAGGTACTTGTTTTATGCGTTAAACACGTACGATTACTGAATGATTTAAAGACAGTTGATTTTATATTTCTCAATATCTGAAACATTATAATATACAAATAGTCAGCTTCATATGTAGAGAAAACAGATGAGTTTTTAAACTTTTTATGTATAATATAAAAACGCGAGAGAAGTTCTTCGCAGAAAAATATACGATAGCAATACAACACTAAGGTTATATTTATTTTGAAAAACTTTCAAGTGTTCATAAATATGTGAAAATGATTTTAATCACATTAAGTACATTTGAAACTCAGCAGTTTGTATAAAGTAACTAAAATAACTATATATAAATAGAACATTGACTCGTCTATGGTTAGCGGTTAAGCATAGGTATTACTGGTATTAGGTATAACCACATTGGATAACGTATTGCTAACTCGATGGTTTTACGTAAATATTCATTTAAATAAAGTGTCGTATAAAATATTTTTTTTATTTACTATTTCGCCAAAGGAATTTAATTTGAAAAAAAAATAGCTGGTTACACTCGGCTACGGTATAACAACTAGAAAAGTGAATTCTGTCTCCTCTTCAAGTTGTAGATGATAAAATAATTTTCATCGTTGGAATTCGTGTAAGTATGTTTTCAAGTTGGGGTGGTATTTGGGGGATGAGCCATGCAACAGAGAGGGTGCGTGTAGGTGTATGATGAACACCCGACGGCAAGCCCTTCAGTATCATTTTCCTCTCAGTCCCGTTTGTGTGAAGGTGAGCGTTGACCGCTTTAACTCGTCCAAAAATATAATTTATCTTTTTTTTTTTTAATTCGGCACTAATCGAGTTGGTTAGGTTTTTATTTCCTAACAATACAAAGATTTATTTTATGACACTAAGTGTAAAATCATTTTTTCCATTTGTTTAAATCTCTAGACAAATGACTGATAATTATTGTTGAGTTTTAAAAATTTGCCCGCCAAATTTACCACGTGAAAACATGGATGATCTTGTAAGTATATTTATGTATTGTTCATTATCATTATTTATAATATTCGATTTATACAACACAATGTTGTCGTTTAATTATTATTCTTTATTTAACTTTTTAACTATAAGTTGAACTCAAATTTTAATATTTAAAAAAAAAATCGTATCATCAAAGAGTTAAGTACATTAAATCTATTATTATTAAATAAAATAATTTATATAAATTTGAAGATATGAAATCAAAGGGTGTGTTGACTACTCATTCATAAAATATATTGAATGAACCTACATAAATACAGCGCATATACTCAAAGTTAATACTTGGAATTCTTCTTCTTTAGTAATGTAAACGTAATGTGAAATTTATTAAATACAAATACTGCAAGTACCTACCTAAATTAAATTTAAATGGATTAAAATTTAAAAAATCTTACCAATTTGGTTTTCAAATTTGGACGTTTCCAAGAAATATCCATGTAATAAGACCATAGATTGATTTAATTTGTAAATAAATATTAAAGATCAAACTTAAAACAAATATCAATCAATGCACATATTATAGTTAGATTATATACTTATTAGTTATTACTTATCTATAATTAATCCTGATAGATTTACGTTGCATCTATCATCTATGTGATTTAATCAACTATTATTTTTAAATATCATATTAGTAGTTTAAATTTTAAAGACTAAAATAAATACTATTTTGATAGAACATCTTGTCTTGTAAATTATTAACATGTATTAGATATTTATAAAAGGTTTTAGTTGGATACTTATTTTTTGTTATTTGTAATAAGTTTTGAAATAAAATAAACAACACTAAATATTTGTAATAATTATCATTCAAACATCAATGATGTTGACAAACATATTTATTACAGTTTCAGTATTTATTTGTATACAATTTTTACACGTGGCTTATTATACGCAGTTAAATCACACATTTTTACAAAAAAATGAAATTTGATAAATAACTTTTTATAATAGTATACCAAATATTACGTACCTACCATGTTACTTTTTAACACCATATTGTTCATCATTGCTTTTAATAATTACCTAAATTCAATTGCGGTTGCAAACCATATTTTGATTGAATCCACAATAGGTATAATACGTAGCATAGAAAAAAATAAGATACATTAGGACTTATTTATAATTGTAATTTATCGGTATTGTATCCATGTTCAATATTTTTAAACGTTTAAGAATTATAACATTTTTGCGAGCACTTTTGTTGGAAAAAAATATCGTTTTCCATTGTCCCCGTTTATACGTAATCGTTAATACCTATGCATTGGATTAAGTTGATTCGGGTATTAGGCTAATGCTCGTTTAATATTTAATACGATTGATGAAATCGAATTAATTCTAATGCGCATTAACGGTTGTAAATAAAAATTGAAAACCTGTGGAAGTTGTTAAAAAAATATATAAAATAAATTCCTGGTCCTCGTTTTGTTCGGGATCTGAAATTGTTTTAACTTTTAGCCTAAAGCCTTTAAAGGTTTCATTATTATGTATAGGATTATAATGCGAGGTGTACGAAAAGTGGACCTAAATGAGCTGACTGCTTACTGGATTATGGCACATTTTACATTTTATTCATCGTGATGAGGAATGATGTTTACTAATAGCGTTTTTGTGTACATACTATAAGTACATAATACTACTATAAGTTCATATATCAATATCATATTATTTAGTAGCGCATTTGATGTAGAGGACCGTTCTTTTTAATGGCAGCACATTATTCGAATAAATCAGTTTTTGGCGATTTTGCTTTATAATGAGCATTATTAATGGATATAAATATAAGACGAAAAAAAAAAGAGAGGAAGACTGAGCAGGTAGCATATCAATGTGTGTTTACCTGCAGCGGGAGCACAGAATCCTAATTACGACGGGAGCCTAAGTAACGGAGGAATGATGTCATTACCCTTTTTTTTTCAAATATTAATTCATTATATACACGTGCAGGTGGTTGTACGTATCCGTGTATAAAAATAAAAAAAATATTAAAATGTAAGAATGATATGTTCGTCATTTATGTAACAGTGTAACCGCTTAGATGTATTTGTTCAATTTATTGTAATATTATTCATAGGAAGGAATAAAAATGAATAAGATAGGTATTATGTAGTTTAGGTTGACAATTTAACAATTTGTTATATGGAAATTTAACTTCTATTAGAAACTTTCTATTTAGAAAAATTTTCAAGAAAAAGACTGGTATGAAATACAATATAATTGTTTACGTATTACAGTTTATAAAGGTATGTTAACATAACATTTATATGGTTTTAAAATGAATTGGAAATCGTATACTGTTATACGATAATATCCTTTATAGAAACAGAATAAATACATTTTAAGATATTGATATTTACAAATATAAGCAAAACAATATTTTTTTCCAAGTAAAAGAGAGAATGTATTTATAATAATTTATTTTCAGCAATGAGTATTGATTATAAACATAGCGAGACATCAAATTAGTTGTAAATTGTAATATTAATATACTTAAAGACTAAAGTAGGTAATTATATAAGTTAATAAAAAAAACAATTGATATTAGTGTTTGGAGGATAAGATATATCGCAATATTGTAATTATAGTTATATTAACACAAGCAACAGTGGGATTAAATAAATTATGAAAGCCTTTGTTCGTTAAGTTTTTAGTACTCACAATTAACAGGAAGTTGATTAGAACTATTTGAATATGTTTTATTTTTAGCTTAAATCAAGTAGCAGCAGTATACATATTAAGCTCTTTTTAATATATCGACTATTTTAGAACCGTTACTGAAGAAATGATGGACTATAATGACATTGAGTACGGTAGTACCTACTATTTTATGTACTCTTTCTAACCTCGTTCGGGATTCAGTTTTTTTTCCTTGGATAGTAGTAGCGTATGCTTTTATTTTTTTTTCTACAATGTATCACATTAAAACGCTACCCAGTATGGGTAGTATTACAGTCATCTATCAATCCGATGGTCGTTAAAGAAATATACATATGGTAACAATTTGATTTCGAGTTCAAATTTAAATAATAATAATCTATATTTTAAGGAATAAAATGTACATACCAATTTTAAAAATCATAATAATAATCTATATATATGGTTAGGTATTAACAAATAAAATAAATGTTCAATACAAGTTATGATATGTAGTTTTAAAAAATATTAAATACTTAAAAATGGCTATGTATTGAAATCGATAAAGCAAATAAAGCTAACTCAAAATACAATCGAAGATCCTTGTTCTCTTATTTTTAGATATTTAATAGAAACTAGGAAGCTTTATATATACTATATTATATTGGTTTGAATGTTTAACAATGATATATTATACTTTTTAATTTTTTTTTGTGTTTTATTTTGGGTCGCTAGCAATGGTTATGTATTTATGTAGAATGAATGCCCTAAAAGTCATATAAATCTTTCTCTTGCGATTGAAAATTAGACACATAATATGGTAATTTACAAATGTAGTTTTAAAGTTTTTGGGTAAAAAAAATCCTTAAAATTAAAAAAAAAAGAAGTGGGACGAATACTATTTTGACTATTTTGTAGTCATACAGAATATATTAATTACAATTATTACTAATTGATAGTCAAAATGTGATTGAAAAAAATATTCATTTTGAGTTCTTATTAAAATTAACAAAACGGCTTATAAAGTGGTTGTTTATTTAATTATAAAATATTTAAGGGTTAAAATAATTTGGAAATAGGCACTGGTTATGTACACTAAAATTGGTACGTTGATTAAGCTTCAAATGTTCAACCATCAAACTTTCGTGTAGTTATAGTTTTGTAACCCATTTTTCCACGTTAGTAGTTAATAAATGATGTCCCAGGTGAATTAACTAATTTGAAGTGACAGGAAAATGGAAAATCCATTACCTTATTACTTTATGTATGGGAGTAGGGAGTAGGTACTATTCAATTCCCATGAGACATTTATTTCCCAATAATAATGTTTATGACGAGTTAACAGTTCTAAGTTGTAATATTTTATTTATTTGTTCAGTTGTATACTATTAATGGGTTTAAATTAATAATAGTCTCTTTGCTTATATAAGAAAGCACTCCAGGCACAACTTACTTCCCTGCAGCAAGTATCAAAAATACATCTCAATCGTGCGCCGCTATATATATTTTATCTTTATTTAAAATAAAAAAAAAAACGAGAAAATTAGATTCTTTTTAGGAGATAAGCTCAACTATACTTAGAATTGTTTTTTCAAATAGAATGATTTATTATTACTTTCAAGTTTACAGACATCCACCCCCATTCAGTAGTATAACTCCTGTATACTTCCTTTTTTTTTTTTTTTTAGGTATTGCATCTTTCACTCCGCGATTTTATATGTTCTATATTTCATTGGTTGTCACGCTTTATAAATGTATACACCTATATATTGATCTTATAGTGGTGTCACAATATTAATTCCGCCCTTAAGCCAATCCAAAAACAATGGTCGATATACTCTGTATATACAGGTTTAGAGTCTAAACCTACACTGGTGAATGTATTTTACGCGAAGACTTTGGTTATAAAATGATTTTGTGGTTGTGAATTTGCGATGACAAAAATTAAACATTAACAATTTGTTCGATGCCCAATTATATTTGCTAGCCATGAGCTGTCTCTGCAGGGATTACGCGAAATCTTTGGTTTGATAAATTATATGTTTTCTCTAGTAGATTAACGCAAAAATGTTAGTTCATAATCACTTATATAACGTGAGGATGGGTTTAATTTTTAATATCCATATATATATATATTTTTCTTTTTTTACCAGAGCTTTCCGGCTACTTGTTTTTACTGTTACAAACACAAACACAGGTTATGACGTACACAAATAAATACAATTCAAATTGAATAAACATAATGTCGGTCATGATAAGTGTAGAGCAGACATTATAAACGTAGGTATATATTATATGGGTCAAAAATATTGAATGGAATACTATGCGGGCCGCACAAAAAACCTTATC